ATTTGTACTGGGTAACAAACTCAGGACCTTGCGCTTGTGAGGCAGGTGTGGTGCCCCTGAGCTAAATCCCCAGCCCGTATTTCCTTTTTTTCTAGTACTGGAACCCTGTCCTGTGACAGGGAACTCTATCTAACTTGCCTAGGTCAGGCTCGAACTCACGATCCTCCTGCTTCACCTTCTTGTGGTACTGGGATTACAGAGATGGGCCACCACACTGGCTATTCCCTAATGTTAAGAGAAGTTCTCCCAGCACTCCGGGAGGCTGAGGCAGGAGGATAGCAAGTTTGAGCTCAGGCTAGGCTACTTAGGGAGGCCCTGTGGGACGTCGTCCGGTATAAAAGTTGGGACAGACACACACACACAGAATCTTACTGGCGTGTTTGTTGGATCAAGGCTGTGCAGTCTGCGTGGAGGGCTCAGTTCCCGAGGAGGCAGTGTTCACCTTGATACCGGTAGAGTTCTGTTTCTGAGATGCAGACTGCACAGAGCACAGCTGGAGAGGGTCACACGGAATCGGCACTGTGCCGCAGTGCTCCTGCCCTGCCCTGCCCTGCGTGCACGCAGTCTTCCTCTCCTGCCTCTGGCGGCCTCAGAACAGGACTGTGGCAAATCTGAGCCGGCACCTGTTGCCACCCGCTGCCCACGCTGGCTGGCCCTGCTTCTGCCCCTTTCTTGCCCCCTCCCCTCGTCCTGTCCTCTTTGCCTTCCCAGTTCCACCAATCCTCCCATCCTCAGAGGCTTCACACATCCTGTTCCCTCTCTCTGCAGGGCCTCTTCGCTTCCCAGTATCCCGTGGGCTCCTTTATTTTTATTTTTCATTTTTGGCTTTTTTTTTGAGACAGGGTCTTGCTATGTAGCCCAGGCTGGCATCAAACTCACAGTGATCCTCCTGCCTCAGCCTCCCAATTGCTGCAATTACAGGCGTGCACCGCCACACAGCATCCTGTGTGGCTTCCTCCTCACCGCTCCCCTAGAACCCTTTTCCCTCCCGCCTGCCCTTGGTTCTCGCAGCCTGCCCTCCACCCCACACTGAACCTCTCTTGCCTCTCTTACTGATAACCTTATCTCACACGGCAGACGCTCGGTCAGTACGGCTGCACTTCCATGTGACGCCTGCCCAGGGGAGGACAGGGCAGGACGGCGTCCCCTTTCCTCTCTCCTAAGTTCCAAGCAGTGATGATGATTGCTTCTGTCAGGGTCAGCGGCACCGTACCAGGCTCAGGACAGAGCACGAACTGGATCCCTGCTTTCACCACACAGCTTTAGGTTTAGGGCAGGGATCAAATCTGACAACCCAGCATGGTGACGCACACCTGTAATCCCAGCACCTGGGAGGCCGAGACAGGAGGCTCTCCACAAGTTCCAGGCCAGCTTGGGCTACTAAAGAGACACCCTGTCTCAACAAACAAACAAACATGGGTGCTAAGGAGCACTGGGGGCAGGGGGCCTGAGCCTGACTCCGCTGCAGTTCCAGGAGGACGGGTTCCTGGTGCTGGAGGAGTTCCTGTCTCAGGAAGAGTGCGTGGCTCTGCAGCAGAGGACCGCGGCGCTCGTGGCCGAGATGGACATCCCCGAACACTGCCGCACGGTGTTCTCCACCCACAAGGAGGAGCAGCTCCGTGCCCAGGTGGGTGAGGGCCAGGTGAGGAGGGAGCTGGTCTCCCTCGGGCTCAGTCCCCAGTGCCGGCAGCAGCCCAGAGGGAGGGCACAAAGGCTCCGGCCCTCCGCTGTGGACAAGGCAGGCAAAGCCGTCCCCGTGCCACAGACAGGTGGCGATGGTGAGGTGCAGATCACTCGCCAGACCGCACAGGAACTGAGAGCCAGGATTCCAACCCGCCTCTGATGCCGACTGGTGCTGTTCGGGGCTCTGCCGAACTTTGGGTTGTCTGGCCACGGCCCTCGTGTGACTTTTTATTTTGGTTTTGAGACAGGGTCTCACTATGTAGTTGAGACTGACCTGGAACTCACTATGTAGCCCAGGCTGGTCACCTCGTGTGACTCATAAACCTCAGCCAAGCCACATGTGGTGGTCCCTGGCTGTAATCCCAGCACTCGGAGGCTGAGGCAGGAGAACTGCCTCAAGTTCAAGACCAGCCCGGGTTACATAGCAAGACTGTCTCAAAAAAATAAAAAAAGGAAAGAGAAGCTCTGGTTGCTTCCTAGGTGCAGTTTGAGGCGGGTGGTGCTGCTCCCACCCTGTTCCCTGCCAAGTCTGAGCCCCCTCCGCCTGGCAGCCCAGCCAGAGCGGGCAGCAGCACAGCTCTGATCTGGTTGGCTGGCAGAACTCATTCACTCCCTCGAGGAGCTCCTGCCACCTGGTGGGCACAGAGGGAATTACAAAAGACCTGGATCCCAGGGAAGGGGAGAAGTGACCAGCTGCTGAGAAAGGCGACAGCTGCTCTCACACCTGGTGACTGTCGCCTTCCAGGGTCAGTGGACTGCAGGGGCAGGAAGGGTACAGACAGCCCAACTATAAAAGTTCAGCCTAGGGTTCTTGTACTTTACGATGACGTGAATGGAGCACATTCAGAGGAAACTGCACTTCGAGGTGTGCGTGTGTGTGTGTGTGTGTGTGTGTGTGTGTGTGTGTGTGGTGGGGATTGAACAGGGCCATGTGCTCGCTGGGCTCTCTACCACTCAACTTCATCCCTGGCCCTGAGTGTTTTTCTGAGGTGGAGTCTTGTTGCTGGGTGTGGTGGCAGACACCTGTAATCCTAGCCCTTGGGAGGCTGAGGCAGGAGGATCCCTGTGAGTTCCAAGAGAACTCATTGGGCTGCACAGTGAATTCAAGGCCATCCTGGGCTAATGCAGAGAGACCCTGTCTCAAAAAACAAAAAGCACAGCTGATGGAAGTGTTCTGAGCACGTTAAGGTAGGCCAGGTAAAGCCATGGTGGCGTGTGTATCGGGAGGAAGCCCCACTGTAAACTGAGGCACGGGTATAATCAGTGAGTTCCAGGAACTCCCGTGGTCACAGTTCAGGCAGTGCTTCGGGCTTCTGTCCATAGCTCTGTGGAAGGGCATCACCTGGCCAGGCCTGGCTCTGCCCCGGGCCACCCTCCCAGCCCCTCCCTGTCCCCCTGCAGTGTGTCTCCGACTACTTCCTGAACAGTGGTGACAAGATCCGCTTCTTCTTTGAGAAAGATGCTTTTGATGAGAAAGGTTTGGAGCTGGGGCCCTAGGGATGAGGGAGCCGTGGGGTTGGCCTGGATTTGCACTGCTGCTCTCTGGGGCTTGGCGGGGGCTGGGCCCGCTGTCCCAGGGACCTCGGACTCCAGTGCCTCTTGTCTCTGCCTGTTCTCTGTGCCACAGGACAGTTTGTGGTTCCTCCTGAGAAATCCATCAACAAAATCGGTCACGGTGAGCAGGGCCTTGGGGGTGCCTGACAGAAGATGGGAGCTTGAGGTCTGAAGGTTTCAAGGTCTGGCCTTGAACTCACTCTGTAGCCCAGGCTGGCCTCAAATTCAGTGATCCTCCTGCCTCAGCCTCCTGAGTGTAAGTGTCCACCACGACACGTGGCTTATAGACTGCTTATTTTCAAACTCTAAGTCGGGTCACGAAAGAACTACAAACCAGGTGTGGTAAAATCTGTATAATATAATTATCATCATAACCATTTTAAACTGTGTCATTCAGCAGCATTATGGGCATTCAGCCCTCCCTTTCTGTAATAACAATACTACTGCAAGTGCTGCTAATGAGTTCCCCGGCCCTGGCCACTGCCACTGGTTTTAGCCTTAGCCAGGGTCCTTCAGCAGCCCTGGGGGGCAAGTGTTCCCATCCTCATTTCACAGAGTAGGAGGCTGAGGCTCCCAGGAGAGAGAGAGGAAGTGAGGGTCCTGGGGAGTCTTCGTCCTCCAGGACGGGTGGGAGTCAGGGCCGCAATGAGCTCTTGGATGGCCTGAAGGTCAGGGAGAAAACGCGATCTTGGGTGGGGGGGAGTATGTGGAGCTCATTACTTGGTTATAAATAAGCATAAAGTTGAATGCACCTGAGCCGGGCGTGGTGGCGCACAACTGTAATCCAAGCACTCGGGAGGCTGAGGCAGGAGGATCGCTGTGAGTTCCAGGCCAGCCTGGGCTACAAAGTGAGGCCCCGTCTCAAAACGCAACAACAAAGCTACTGCATCCAAAGTAGGCACGAATGTTAAAGTCCAGGGTCTAGGGTGTGGGAGAAGGCGTGTGGGGCGAGACTACCTGTTACCCGCCCTGTCCCACAGCTCTGCATGCCCACGACCCTGTCTTCAGGAGCATCACGCACTCCCCCAAGGTGCAGGTGAGGGGGCTGCCGGGGAGAAGGTGAGGGGCCCAGTTGTGGGAGGCAAGGCTGGCAGCATCCTCTCTGCCCCCTTCCAGGCCCTGGCCAGAAGTCTGGGCCTGCAGAAGCCTGTGGTGGTGCAGAGCATGTACATCTTCAAGGTGAGCTCTGTGTCCTCCCTGGGCCTCAGTTTGTGCTCTGTGAAATGGGCACACTGCTGGTACAGAGCCCTTTCCTGCAAGGCTGGGTGTGGTGGCACACACCTCTAATCCCAGCACTCGGGAGGCTGAGGCAGGAGGATCACCACAAGCAAGGCCAGCCTGGGCTGCACAGTGAGTTCAAGATCAGCCTGAACTGGGCTGGGGATTTAGCTCAGTGGTACTGCTGCCTGCCTGGCAAGCGCAAGATCCTGAATTCAATCCCGGGTACCAAAAAACAAAACAAAAGAGGCAGGTGCAGCGCCACTGAGCTACATCCTTGGCCCTAACATAACGAAGCAAAACAAAAGATTGTCCTGAACTACCTAGGGAGACCTTGTCTCAAAAAACCAAACCAAACCCAAACAGAGCTCTTTGTATAATGAGCCCAAAACTGCTAGAATTATGAAGTTGTGTGGGGAACATGTGAAGTGCCTAGCACTTCGTTGGTGCTCAGTTAAAATTTGGTGGTGGAGCTGGACAGGAAGATCACAAGTTGAAGGCCAGCTGACTGTGGCTCCCGGGCGGGCAGGGCTGGGCCCTTGGCCTCCCTCCGGGCCTGGCACACAGTCGGGCTCCCCTGCTCCCCTGCTGCCCTGCCTGCACTTACTATTATCTTCCCCTCTCTTGCAGCAACCTCGAATCGGTGGTGAAGGTGAGGCTCACGGGCAGGGGCGGTGCTCCCAGGCTCAGTGGTGTTCAGGCCTGGGCAGGGGAGGAGGTGCCCACCGCTTGCCTTCTGGGATGGGCTGAGTGGGCTGGGCCCTGGAGCCCTTTCACAGTGGTCCCAAAGCTTTAGCTTCCAATATAGAACCCTGGGCCTGAGATCTTAGGCTAGCAGATCCATGTAGGCCTGGAAAAATGTTTTTTTGTTTGAGACAGGGTCTTGCTATGTAGCCTAGGTCTCAAACTTGCAGCGATCCTCCTGCCTCAGCCTCCCAAGTGCTGGGATTACAGGCCTGTGCCACCATGCCCATCTTGGAAAACTGCATTTTTAACCACTCCCTGCAGGATTAATGTAGCTTGCAACTTGCTGTCCCAGTCCACACCCTACTGGATGCAGATACCCTTGATGGACTTCCTGGGGGTGATTGGCGCCTTCTGCTCGCAGGCCGCTGGCTGCAGTAGCCTGCCTCCTCCGCGGCAGCCCTTCCCTTCCTCCCCGCGCCAGCATTCTCCTTGCGACCACCCTCCTCCCCGAGGTGGTCACAAGCTCCCTGCACCTGCTCTGCCCAATGCCAGAGCCCCAGCTCCTTTGGCCGGTTCTCTCCCCAACCCTTGGACGCTCCCGCCCCTGGACACGCTCTCTGGACACTGTGCAGTTTCTCAGCGTGGTGTTCAGTAAACACACAGTTAAGAGCCGGGCGTGGTGGCCCACACTTGTCGTCCCAGGTGTACTGGGAGGCTGAGGCAAGAGGACTGCGGAGAGTTTGAGGCCAGCCTGAGGTACAGAGTGAGTTCAAGGCCAGCCTGGACTACATAGCAAGGCTGTCTTAAAAAAAAAAAGAGTCACGGGGGAAGGGAGGAGGTGACACCAGTCCCACCCTCTGCCTTGTCCTGCGGACTAAGTGCTCTGGCCGGTGTTCTCCATCCTAGCTGTGCCCCAGCACCCCACAAGGAGGTTGTAAAAATGGAGCTGCCAGGCTGCCTCCTGGCTGGTCTGTGCGTCCCTGGGTAAGAGCAGTTCTGGCTGGGGCTGTGACCGGGGCAGGTCGCTGATGTGGCAGGAGAGGGGCCCTGGGTTCTTACCCACGTGGGCGGGGATTCAATAACAGCAGCCCACTTTGCAGTTCAGCAAACAGAGGCTGTGAGGGTCCCCGGGCCAGGCAGTTTCTAATTGAGTCGGGGAGGCGGGCCTGGTGGGGGACGCTGGGCAGGGGCCGGGCAAAGGACAGATCCTCACCCGGCTGCGTCCGCTGCAGTCAACCCGCACCAGGATGCCACCTTCCTGTACACCGAGCCGCTGGGCCGCGTGG